CTATCGAGCCGTTAGGGCTGTGCATCTATTTAAAAATTTGTAATATTTATTATAAAATCATTACTTATCGATCGCTACGTATTTAAAAAAAATGCATTAATAAATTTTATTATATAACCATATATAGTTTTGATTTACATAGTGCATCACACACCCACCATGTCATGTGACTTGGTTTCGTTTGAGCGAAAATCGTTTTTTGTGCGATTTGAGACATTTTTAAATTTAGCCCCAAAATGGGACAAAGTCACGTGACTTCCGCCTTTAGGTGTCCCACACTATACTAATTAAATCTATTTTAAGAATTTTTCTTCAAAACACTTAATGTGTCTTCCCCAACACTTTTCATTTTAAGAGTTTTTAATGATCCTTTTAAAAGACAAGCAAGTAGTTTTTATAACAAGTAAATACTTGTTGTTTATCTTTAGAGATGCTATTAGACTTTGATTACTTGTTTAATTTTGGGATCCTTTCCTGAAGGTCGTATTACTGTCAGAGAATGAAAAAAAGATTGAATTGTCTTGAATCAAGTCATCAATTTTTATTAGTATAGCTGTTATCAAATGTTGGAAATATGCATCCTCGATCTTGTTATAGTATGAAATATATATATAGAAATAGATATGTATAGAAAATACAAATAAAGAAATAATAATCTATAATATAAAAATAGAAACAAAATATATGGTACTAAAGAAAATAGCTGAATGTTAATTATAATATGATCATATGATGATGATTAAAACAATCTAGAAATTGATCTAGTAATGTGATAAAAAATTTCTTTAAGTAACAGACTTCTCTTCTCAATTTCCAAGCTTCTGTAAAGCCTCCAATTTAAATTTAGTTAAAGGCTTTGGTTATCCTTTTATTGGAGAGCAGTTGATATTTCTTTAATCAGTTACTATGAACTTTTTGTTTTAGAACTTTGTTTTCCAAAGTTCAGAGTTTATAGATACTATGGCCTAAGATGTTGTGTATAAAGAATAGTTCAATCTATTTTTCTTCTAACTTGCTCTTGTGTGTGCTCTAAAGTTTAAAACAGTATTTCAGAACACAATCACCTATAGAGTAACTCTCGAGGAGAATTTTTAATTATACTGTTTTTGTTGCTTCTGCTAGGATCTCTTAATTCTGTTTTGAGCCTTTCTTCGAATTCTGAAAATATTTCCCAACAAGACTTTTATTCTTCTTATAAGATTTTCTTGTAATTCGGTCTCACTAGCTGGAAGAAAAGCAGCTATCAAAGTGGTAATCTCTGCAAGAAGTAAGGCATCTCTTCTATACATAAGAAAAAATGTGTTGTGTTAAGTAGTGAAGTACTTGGTGGTCTGATAAGCAAATAGAGCAGGAGGTATATATTGGTTTCAGTCTCTGGCAAATTGGATGGTGTACTTAGTTAGCACTTGGTACAATGTTTGATTAAAACGTTCTACTAACCTGTTGGTTTGGGATGATAAGTAATAAAATAGTAGTAATAGAATTCAAGTTGTGCAAAAATAGCCTCTATAATATAGTTGGCAAAGTGCTTGTCTTGGTTAGACAAGAGTACTTTAGAATATCCATGATGACAAATAATATCCTTTATAAGAAATAATCTGACTAAAGAAGTGGTGGCATTAGGTATGGCACAAATCTCTAGCCATTTTGTGAGGTATTCAGTAGTTACAACTATATATCAATTGCCCTTCTGAGTAGGAACCAAGAGTCCAACAAGGTCAATCCTGACTTTGTTAAATGGTTGTCTCACTTTAATAGGATAAAAGGGTTTACAGATTTTTGGATGATCTATACGCTAACAGGTATCATACAACCTGATATATTGCTTAATATCTTTACCTATTTGAGGCTAAAAATATCTAAGAGCAATATGTTGGAAGGTGGATAAGTAATTAAAATGGCTGGACAATGAGTTGGAGTATATGCTAAAAAACACAGATAGGACTTTGGAAGGTTTTAATACTTGCAAAAGTTGGTAAGGGTCTTTTTGATATTTTTTATATAAGATGTTGTTTTTAATTGTATAATGTCTAGTTTGTTGTTTTAAGCATTTTAGTTGTTAAGAGTTCAATTCAGATAAAGTGGGATTGCTAAGGTAGTGAATAAACATTTGATAAGTTTGAGGTTCCATAGTGATATATAAAATGAAGATAGTTAGATATATAGAAAAGAAACAATAAAGAAAGCTAAAAAGATTAAAAACAGGTGAGTAATATTAATTAGTCAGAATTAAGCAGATTGGTCCAGAATTTTAGCAAGATATAAAATACTATTAACATTTGAGTGTTGTCTTCCAGCATGGTAGACGATTATGAAAAAATACTCTTAAAATGCAAGAATCTAATGAACAAGTCTTCTTGAAGAAGTTTATTCTTCAGCAAGAACTTAAGTGCAGAATGGTCAGTGATGAGATGAAAATAGGTTTTATAAAGATATTGGTGAAAATAAGAAATAGATCAGACAATGGCTAGACACTCCTGTTTAGTAATAAAATAATTTCTTTTAGCGCTAGTCATAGTCCTGCTAGCATAATAGATAACTTTCTCTTTGTTTTGATCATTTTTCTGAAAGAGTATAGCTCCGAGAGCCAATCCCAAAGCATCAGTAAAGAGAAGAAATTCCTTGAAAAAATCTGGATATGCTAAAATAGAAGCAAATATGAGGTGGTTTTTTAATATCTGAAAGGCTTCACCCTGCTTGGTCATTCAGATATATTTAGAATTCTTTTTTTAAAAGAAGATTAAGAGGGGTGGCAATTTGCAAAAAATTCAAGATAAACCTTCTGTAATAGGATGCAAGGCCTAAAAACTCTCGTAACTGACAGAGGTTCCTTAGAACTAGAAAGTTCTTAACAGTTTTAACCTTTTTTAGATTAGTTAAGATACCTTCAGGACTAATGATATACTCTAAAAACTTAAGTTCTCTTTTGGCGAAGTGACACTTATGAGGATTCAACTGTAGACCCGCACTCTTAAAATGCCAAAAGACCTCTCTTAAGTGTTAAAAGTGATTATCGAAGCTTGAAAAAAAGATATTAATATCATCCAGATATACAATGACAAACTTGCTATTAATATCTCTCAAAAGAGTGTCTATAAGCTTTTGAAAAGTCACAAGAGCATTGGTGAGGCCAAATAGCATAATGTTGAATTTATATATGCCATACTGGAAAGTAAAGGTAGTTTTTTTCTTGTTGTCAGGATGCATCTCAATCTGCCAGTAACCACTAGCAAGATTGAGAGAAGTATACCAAGCAGAATGAGAAAGGGTGTTGAGAAGATTATCTATATAAGATAAAGGATAACTATCCTTCTAAGTTATAACATTCAATCGATGATAGTTAATACAAAAGTAAGTTTTGTCCTTTTGTTTAACAAAGACTATATAGAAGGCCCATGAACTATCAGAAAGTTGTATAATACCCTCTTCTAGCATATGACCAATTTCCTCTTCAAGAAACTCCCTCTCTCTGTGAGAAATATAGTAGGGCTTTTGTCTTATAAGAGCAGTGTTACCAGTATGAATTTTGTGAGTAACTAAACAGGTATGCTCTAAGTCTTGCGAAGTTTAGACAAAAGTGTCATCATATTTTAATAACAATTGGTTCAACTAATTGTTGTCCTTTGGGTTAAGTGAACTGATGTCTAATTTGAAAAGAGGTTCCTCAATATCTTCAAAGAAAAAAATCATGATCTTCATTTGGCATATCAATATCGAAATCAGAAATATCTTCTTCCAGGTAATTGTCATTACTATTTAAATTCCACCAGGCTATATAGGCATCTTATTCTGGATAGGGGTGTCACAATAGGAGTCATCAGTGTCTTGATCAGAATCATGATAGGTGGAATTAGAAAGACACCCAATTTCCTAAAAAAACAAAATCAGACTCAACTAGTTCGAAAAATAAAGAGGCAATGGTTAAAGATTCATCTTCTTCAAAGTAACTAAAAATTTAGTTTTTTAGTTCTTCTTCTTTATATTAACTCTCAGTTTCCTCTTTCTTAGATTCCAAGGCTTCCTCTGGCTTAGTGATTCTAGAAGGACAGCTTTCTTGAAGGAGCTATACTTGAGCTTACGAAATTCTATAGGAATAATGACTTGTTCATCCTTCTATATGAAACTCATTGCTTCATTAGTATAATCAATTTTGGTGTTCATCTTGAAAAGCTAATCATTTTCTATAATAGCCTTGTATAAAGTAATATTGGTAATGATCATATCAACGGGAACTTTTACCCCTCCTACTATAAATGGGAAATCAGAAATTTTCTCAATAACTCTATAGTTTTGGCTATATATATTAATTATATTAATAGTAGATAGTTTCTTGATCTTCATATCTATTTTTTAGAGGAAGGAGGTAGTGATAATACTTCCTGAGAAGTTACTATCAACTATTAATGGAATAACTATTCCATTAATAGAAGTATTACAGTATAAAGTAGTAGCCTTGTTTGTTGGGTGGAGGTTGTCAAAAGTGTGACTTTTTCTCTTAAACAATTTTTTTTTTTTTAAAGGTTTTTTGATAGCTCTGTCTGCATAGAGGGGACAGCTTTTAATAATTGTCTAACAGTAATATTAGCAGGTTTGTCTCTTACATTAGCAATAATTGGATAGAGGAAAATAAAAGTAGAAATTTAAGAGAGCTCATTTTCAGTTTTTCTTCTTCGGACAACTGAGAGCTTAGCCTCATCTTTTTTTTTCTTTAACAACTTTATCTGTCTTTTCATGATCAACTCTAGACCCGGCTACTCTAGAAAGAAGTTCTCTTAGGCAAGGTCTTCTTGGGTATGCTGATACTTAAGCCTAGTCAATCAAATGGGTCTCTCTAGTCCTTTCCTGATTCTATACAGGGAAGCTTCTTCATAAATATTTAAAGAGTTTTAAGCCTTATTTTCTTGTAAGTTGGATTAAGCAGATTCAACAAAGTCTGTATAGCCTTTTGGGCTTCAGCATTTTGAGGAGCTAGTTTGGTTGGGTTGATGATTGTTGTTTTGGCTTGGGAGATTGTTTTCTGGAGCAATGTCTCTTTTGTTGTCCTTTCTGAAAAGATTGAGGCAATTTCTAGCAAAATGTTTATTTTGTCTACAATAAAGATAAAAGCTTCACAGCCTATTGTTCTAATTGTTCTAGTTCCTCCTAGAAGAGTCTCTAGCCTTCTTCAGTTGGTTCATCATGCTGTTGACTACTTTTGTCAATTTCGTAATTGCTTTCTCTATTGAATTCGGTCCAAAGGGTAGTATCTGGGAAGATATATACTAAGGAAAATAAAATAAGAGAATGAGAGAGGTGTTAAAATAGGCCAAATTCTGTTTGAAGGTATTTTAAAAGGCCTTGGCTCTTTCCAGAGTAGCAGGAAAAGTCCCAGATAAGAAGAGGGCTACTGAGGTGTCAAAATTAGGTCTCAGGCCACTAATGAATATTTGGGCCTTGGCAGTATCTGGATAATGGTATCCACTAGCTTTTACTCATCTCAGGAGTTCCTTGATAGCCACGTGATAAGTATCTACATCCTCAATAGAGAGTTGTTTATGCTGGATCAATTGGGCAAACCATTTGCTTTTCAATATAGGGGTTCTAAAGTAGACAATAAATATAGATTTAAAGCTTTGGCTCTGATTTTGATTATCATTCTATCAATCAACTGGTTGTGATTGATTTCTAATACTAATCCACCACATAGCAGTGGCACTCTTAGGCTTAGGGATGACAATCAAGATTTTATAATTGTCCTAAACTTGGTTGGCCTCGAATGCCTTTTTTACATTCTCTAACCAAATAATAGGGTCTTGTTCTCTACCTAAAAACTCAGGGTAAGAAATCAAGTTTAGCTCTTAGTTTTATACAGGAAGGTTTATTTAGAAAATGTTAACTTGAGAAGGTGCAATATTGATTTGTAGAGAAGAAACTTGCTACATCTGAATAACCAGTGCTCTAATTTACTAAGTGAGATTGCCTATGAGGTTAGGCTAGGTGTTAGGATTGGAAGTATTGTTATTGTTTCTTTGGGCTATGTCATCAAGAAGTTTGAAATGCATATAGTGTCATCTTCTGAAGTTTGCTAAAGTTGTAAGCATCTTTAAAAAGGTTTTTTAAAAACCTATTAGTCTCTTGATAAAGAGTCAAAAACTTACTTAGAAGAGTCAGATAAGTGTTAGACTATTTGTAATATTGAAAGCTAAAAAGAAATCTTCTTAGTGAAGCTTCTAAAAATTCTTCAATAGGAAAATCATGAAAAATGTCAAAACAGATTAAAGAAATCTGTGAATATGAAATAACCAGTTATGCCAAACTAAACTACTTCCAGAAATTGGCGAACTGAATCGATTAGCCATCTTGAGGATTAAAGCAAACAGTGCAAGAGTTATTGGAGTAATGTTCTATAAAATAATGGGTTGCTTAAGAGCTTTTGCTGAAAATATAGTGTTATTGATTGTGTTTGGCATTGTTTCTAAAGTATTGTTCAAAATTTTTTATACAATAAATCTGAAGTAGGTTATTCTATTTCTACACAATTAGCATCACTTGTTACTATTGGCAGGAGAGCAAAGATCAATGAATGTGCTGGTTTAGAACAGGACAGTAAACAATACAAGTTAGAAATAATTAACTATGAAAGAATATTGAGTTAGTATAGTTGAATATAATTAGAGGTGTTTTGAAGTAAATGATATGAGATAAGAATAATAAAATTTAAGAAATTGCAAGTACAGATATGAGTCTGTATTTAGTAATTTAAACAATGTAAAGATTAATAGTGAATCGATTCTTAAACAGATTGATTAATGTATGCAGGATAATATTTAATAAAGATAATAAAATAAAAATAAACATTAACTTAATGCTAACAAGAAGTGTGAAAAGTCAATTATACACAATATTATAAGTTGCTTTTGGCTTTGAAATACCTACTAACTTATAGGTATTTGAGTTTTATTTAAACAAATTGAAGTTTGAAGAAACTTTATTGAGGTCAAAAGTGGGCTTTTAAATATATAATCATTTTACATATTTAATTACATTACTCAACTGATGAAACTATTCTCTTCTGTCAAACAATATATGATTATAAAAACTCTTTTCTTCTGCCACTAATTAAATCTACTTAATACATCTTTCCCAACACTCTTCATTCTAAGAGTTCTTAATGATTCTTTTAAAGGACAAGCAGGTAGTTTTTATAACAAGTAAATGCTTATTGTTTATTTTTAGAGATTCTATTAGACTTTGATTCCTTGTCTAATTTTAGAATCCTTTCCCAAAGGTCATATTTACTGTCAGAGAATGAAGAAAAGGTTGAATTGTCTTAAATCAAGTCATCAATTTTTATTAGCGTGGTCATTATTAAACGTTGGAAACACACGCCCTCAATTTTGTTATAGTATGAAATATATATATAGAAATAGAAATTGATATATATAAAAAATACAAATAAAGAAATGATAATCTATAATATAAAAATAGAAATAAAATATGTAGTACTAAAGAAAATGGCTAAATGTCAATTATAACGTGATTATATGATAATGATTAAATCAATCTAGAAATTAATCTAGTAATGTGATGAAAAATTTCTTTAGGTAACACCAGTTAAATTTATGTTTTCTTGATTTGACTAGTTAAGAGATTGGTTAAACCCAACTCCCAACTAATCAAACATGTTTTTTATTTTCTATTAACACTTAAAGATTTATTTAATAGTAATTTGAACAGATAATTTAAAGTTGGAGTCTGTTATAATGAACAACCAAAAGGCAGTTGTATAGTATTTGAAAACTGTCAAAGGAATAATTAATGTAATCTTACTAAATTGGCATAGACGTAGCTAAGGATAAGAAAAAACATTTGAATAATATCTGAATTAATTATATATTGTATTTAATTTATATATTTCTCATTTTTATTTCGATTACTATGTTATTAAGATCAATTTGGGTGTAATAAGGTGTATGTGTATTATATAAATATATAATAAATAGTATGTATATATAGTATATATGTTTAGTATTATATATCTATTATATTATATGTTTATTTTATATAAAATATTTTAATTTTATTCTACTTATTGCAAAACTATTATATTCTATTTATATGTAGTATTTAGCAGTATTGATAACAAATAAATCCAATTTATTTATCTTTTTAACAACAATTCTATTTTGTTAGCAATAACCAACTTGATTTATTACTATATTAGAATTTTACATATTAACAGATTTTTGATGATAATGAACATCTTATATTCATTTTTCTTAATCTTATTTTTGATGAATTTTTGTCAAATTTGATATTTAGAATAACAGAATGAAGTACAAATACTTACTAATTTTTTTCATTTAGAGAACTCACAGCTTTAAAAGTTTCAAGTGCGATGGCTGTTCCTTATTGATCAAATTTTCTAGAATAATGACCAATATAGTTTTGAATTGTGGTTACTTTAGACACATGAATCTCTTTAATTTTCCCAGAATGCGCGAACCTCAATAGTTTCTTATACATCTCTTTGGCTATCATTTTATTTTTGGAGTTTAAGTTTTTATTTAAAAAAAATTGTTTTAAAAAATTTACAACTTTCGCTTTAATTCTTTTCTTTCTGTCCTTTTTTCTGAATTTAGCATTTGTAGAAAATGCCCAACCTTTGAGTATTTAAAATGTTTCTTCAATGTTTTTAAAAAGATTTATGCTAGTTAAATTCGAAATAATTTCAATAAATCATAACAATTTTACAGACCTTTTGCTGATATTATCTGTTTCTATAGATTGTTGATAATAAATGAATATATTAGATTTATTCATTTCAACTTCAATTCCATTTTCTATTTCAGCAGATTTTTAGTGATAAATTAATGCATTATGTTTATTCATTTTAACTCCAATTACACTAAACTCTCCTGTTTCAACAAATTTTTAAAAATTAATAAATGCTTGATATCTATTCATTCTAGCATTATTTTCTAAATAAATAACACAACAAAGTAAACAAATTA